GCCTAAGGTGGAACTAGAACTCACCGTCTCCTGGTGATTGGCCCAAAGTCACCCAATCAGCTTTCATGCCTAAGGTGGAACTAGAACTCACAATCTTCTGGTGATTGGCCCAAAAGTCACCCAATCAGCTTTCATGCCTAAGGTGGGACTAGAACTCACTGTCTTCGAGTTTCTTGCTTTGGGCTGAGTAGATATGTCTAAATCTAATTATTTTGGAATACCCCCCAAGATCCACAGAGTCCTGGAGGAAGAAAGCCTTAGAATTTATAAAGCAGCATATAGAGCAATTACGCAGAAAATTAGCCCTGTAAAAACATTTCCTATACATTGTTTCTGTTCTCCCTGTCAGGTAGGTCTGTGTAATTATCCCCGTAGTTCAGATAGAGTAGGAAGGGCCGAGAGTAAGAGCCAGAGATTTTCCAAGCTGGAGATGGCAGATGTGTGAGTATTTAATCACGCTTCGTCTTGATTTAAGATTGCAAGATGCAATAAAAATTACTAACACTGGAGTCTTAACCAGGTTGATGACAGTCTTAGCTAAACTTTCAACTCTCTGGAATATGCAGGAGGAGAATGTTGCATCTTGCACAAAACCAGCTTTTTAGGCAGTTGAGGGGTCTGTATGTTGTATGAACCGAGAACGTTCGTTCGCTCGTTCGTCAGGGGCGGGATTCAGCCGGTACGGACCGGTTTGGCCAAACCGGTAGTTCTAGCAATTGTTTGGCCCTACCCACTTGCCCCTGCGGTATCCTGTCCTGTATTTCCTTGGTTTGAAGCCCAGCTGTTTTTACCCACTGGGGCTGCAGTAAAAGGTAAGTTTTCTTGCTATTTTCAAATGCAGTGCGAAGCGCACGCTCACCGAACCGGTTGTGACACCAGTTGAATCCCGCCACTGCTTGCAATCAAGTTGTCAACTCATAAAATATTTCTCTGGTCTTTTTGGAGTTGCCAATAGAAAGGGACGGGGGGAATAGTGCAGCAGCTTGCAAATCGAAAGTGCATTCCATAAATGTTTTCAAAGATAGTTCCTAGGTGACTGAAGTTTCTGCTGCACATAATTCTAACTGGAGAGCCTGATTGATGACTCTGGGCTATGGACGTGTCCCATTGGAGGATATGAATTATGCTACACCCAGGGGGAGGGGGGAAAACCAGAGTCAAGGGTGACAATGAATGATGTGTCTCAGAGTCAGCTACACCCAGGTAGCACTAGTATGTTTACTCCTAATAAATCTTCTGTCAGGATTCCGGCAGTTGCTCCAATTAAATCATGAGCCTCGAGCCTAACTAAAAAAGATTTATTTGAGGGTAACATTCTATGTCCAGCATTTACCTGGGAGTAGCCAAGTCTGAGATACGTAATTTACTGTCACCCTTGATCCTGCTTTCCCCCCCACCCCCACCCCTCTAGGTGTATCATCCAATGAAAAACATCCGTAGTCAAGAGTCATCAATCATGCTCTCCAATTAGATTTTTGCACGGCAGAAGCTTCAATCATCTAATCGGTCTTTGAAGAAAATATGAATGGAATGTACTTTCGATTCCACACTGCCGCCTGCTCTTTGACACTCCCCCCCTCCACTTCTTTCTGTTGTCAACTATAAAACGTGTATACAAAATGTTTCATGAGTTGACATCTTCTTTAAGTTTTGAAAATCCAGCTAGAGACTCGTGTTTTAAATGGGGGTAACTACCGGAGCCCTGACACAAGGTGTATGTGTGGTATAGATTTATTTATTCACACAGTTTAGCACCTTTATAGACTCTAGACCAGGAGTTGGCAACCTGTGGCTCTGGAGCCACCTGCGGCTCTTTTGGCCCTCTGCTATGGCTCCCTGTTGGCTGATCCCACCAATGGCTGCCCACCACCACCACTCCTCGCCTGGCCTGAGAAGGCAAGGGTGATGGCGGGGGACGGAGACTCGCTCCACATTCCAGAGCAGGAGGTGACTGGATGGGAGTGAGTGACGTCGCGTTGGCCACGCCCACCCAGTCACCCCGGTTGTTAAATTATTGGCTCCTGGGGTTTTCTTTTCTTTGGGAAACTGGTCCAAATGGCTCTTTGAGTGTTTTAGGTTGCAGACCCCCTGGTCTAGACCAGTGTTTCTCCACACTGGCAAGATGTGAGGACTTCAAAAACTCAAAAGATTTCCCAACCCCAGGATCCTGGCTGGGAAAGTCTGGGAGTTGAAGTCCACACATCTTCACGCTACCCAAAAGTTAAGGAGAATTGGACTAGATGACCTCTCAACTCTCGTCCACCAATAAAAGAATATATATTTTTAGTTCAGGATTGAACCGTGAGGTCCTGGATGTTCTCTGAGCTTGGTGGTTTTCTTGGAGACATTTCATGACCCAACTTGGTAATATCATCATTACTAGAAGAGAGTGGAGATCAGGGGTGGGATTCAAAAATCCCAGCAACCTGGTTGATGGGTGGGCGAGGCCTACTGGAAGTTCCTGTTTCCGACTTCAGGTGGACCTCCAGAACCCAGAGAAGGCCTTTTCACCATCCCAAGGATCCAGAGGCCTCCCCCGGGCCTCTGGGAGGGCAACAACAGCCTCCCCTGGCCTCTGGAGGCCCTCTGGAAGCGGGAAACAGGCCCGTTTCCGGACTTCCAGAAGGCCCGTTTTCCCACTCCCAGAGCCTTCGCGCAGACCCTGCACTTACCTCCACCAAAAATGGGCCGCATGATGACCCGGGACATGGCACAAAAAAACCAAGTCCCCAAAGTAGGTAAAGTCCCTTTAATACCTCCAACTTGGCCCCCAATATCCAGTTATCATCGACTGGAGAAAAAAAACTCTCCCAAGAACAGTTTTTAAAGGGAAGAAATTCAGTCCAAACGCAAAGTACATCTAAATGATAAATAAAAACCAACACAAACCACTAGCTGCAGCAATTAACGAGACAGGGCGGGATAAGGAATTGCAGACTTCAAAAGATAACGAAACACACACAGCTGGGAGGATGCCAGAACCCAGATAAGATGTGACAAACAAAGATAATGCACGCTTTGCTTCCAGCAAAGTGCTGTGTGCAAACACCCTTTTTAATCCTGTTTTCCCAGCTGCAGCCAATGAAGGAAATCAGGGCCTTTTTCTCCCCCATAACCCACGTTGCTCCCTTCTCTGTTCCTCCCTGTGTGCCCTAGGATGAAGAGGAGTTGGGCCTGAGGCTTCCTCTGAATGCCCAGCCAGACTGTGCCCTTCCCCAGTTTCTTCCACAGCCACCGGAGCCACACTCCCACTCCCTGTCAGCTACTCGACCTCCCCCTCGGAATCAGATTCCAACAGGGCCAAGACAGGCCATGTAGAGACTCCTGGGAGGGGCCAGCCACTCGGTTGAAATACCAGTTCAGTGAACCAGCTGTAACTTTAACATCCGGTTTGCCCAAACCAGTCTGAACCGGTAGAATCCCACCTCTGGTGCAGATGGCTCTCGTTTTACATACAGGTGCCTGCCTGCTCAGTGTTGGTGGGAGTGATCTTGATGGGTTCCTTGAGTAGGCTGTTGTTTATTGTTGGATTGTTTGTCTGTGTTGGTAATTCTCCTTGATTGGAGTGTTGATTATGGCTTGTCGGTCGATCTAGTGTTAATCTTGAAGTTGGTCTCTGCCAGGGGTGGGATTCTCCCGGGTTAACAACTGGTTCAGTGACCGTGCGCTATCCGCTCATGGGTAACACTCAAGTAACACAGCTTGAGAAGCGGCAATCCGTTGTGCCGCGCTAATCAACTAAGGCAATATAGGTAGGTAAAGCGAAGGGGCAGGCCGGCGGGCCCGCATGATAGTTGCAGCGAACCAGTTCACGGCCAGTTGATTTTTGGAGCAAGGGATTCAGGCGAACCGGTCCGAATCCCACCCCTGGTCTTTACTCATATGACTGTTGATTGCTGGCAAGGAGGTTTTGGTCTTTCTGTTCCTCGTTGAGTTTTTTTTACAGTCTCTTTTGAATGGTGTGTAGACATTATTTACCTCTTTGTGCCTGTGGATGGCCGATCGACGCCAGGCTCCTAGAAATTCCCTAGCATTTTTCGACCTGGCTTAATCTAGGAGGCTCACAGTTTCCCAGTTGAAACTATGGCGAAATCTGCCCATGTCTTGTGCAATTAAGCAGTTTTCATCATGTCTTCTGACTGCTAATTGGTGTTCCGGGATGCGCACTGCTAGTCTTCAATCTGTTTGTTCTACATAGCAGGAGCATCTGTCTTGCTCCCAAGAAACTAGAAACCCATGAAGTTACCACAGACATTATGAAGGTTAGTACCGTTTTAGTTTTTAGTGGCATTCTATATCAGCGGTATCAAACTGGATTTCTTCCAAGGCCAGATCAGCATTGTTGTTCTCCTCTGCGGGCTGTTGGCGGGGGCAGTGGTGGGGCAAGATGGATGCCTCCTATAGTACTCTGCCGGCCAAAACGGGGCATGGGAGGTCCATGTGTGGGCCTCCTGTGTCTCATTTTCTCCCTCCATGGCCTCCTGCAGCACTCTGCTGGCCAACAACATTTTTCGGCCATTTTCATTGTGATGACCCAAAGGGGCGTGGCACAAAAGCAACAAAGTCCCAAAAATAGATAAAGTCCCTTTAATGCCTCCAACTTGGCCCCCAATGTCCAGTTATCATCGGCTGGAGAAAAACTCTCCCAAGAATAGTTTATAAAGGGAAGAAATTCCCTCCGAACCCAAAGTACGTATAAATGATAAATAAAAACCAACACAAACCACACTGCAGCAATTAACCAGACAGGGCAGGATAAGGAATTGCAGACTTCAAAAGATAACGAAACACACACACAGTTGGGAGGACGCCAGAACCCAGATAAGACTTGACAAACCAAAATAATGCACGCTTTGCTTCCAGCAAGGTGCTGTGTGCAAACGCCCCACTTATATCCTAGTTTCCCAGCTGCAGCTAATGAAGGGAATCAGGGCCTTTTTCTCCCCCATAAACCCACGTTGCTCCCTTATCCGTTCCTCCCTGCATGCCCTAGGATGAAGAGGGGGTGGCCCTGGGTCTTCCTCTGACTGCCCAGCCGGACTGTGCCCTTCCCCAGGTTCCTTCACAGCCGCCAGAGCCACACTCCCGTTCCCTGTCAGCTGTTCAACCTCTCCCTCGGAATCAGATTCCAACAGGGGCATGACATTCGGGTTGTTTTCAGCTTGTTTTGGGCCCATTTTGGGCCTGTTTTTTGATCTGTTTTCCACCGGCAGAGTGCTGCAGGAGGCCATGGAGGGAGAAAATGAGGTGCATGGGGGGTTCACGCAGCCCGTTTTAGCCACCAGAAGCACTGCGGGCCAGTCCCTTGGTATGTCCACGCCGGGCACACGGCCGGATTTAAGCACCCCATGGGACAGATCTGGCTTCCGGGCCTTGAGTTTGACACCCCTGTTCTATATGAACTTCAAACAGAAAGTCATAAAGCTGTCATTTCTCTTTCTGGAATGTCCCCTTGACTGGTCATTTTGGTCAATGAAAGGCCTACCTTCAGGTTTAGTGATTTTTTGTAGTGAGTACAGCTCACGTATAAGGGCTTCCAAGATACATTTTGCGAAATCAGGTTTCTGTCAGCTATGTTTTTGGAAAACCTTAATGCCGAAGCGGAGTTAAAGTCAACGCAAACATTTCATTTGCAAAGGAGCAGAGACTCGGAAGGCACAACACAAACCATCTGCGAATGAGATCCCGTCACAACACGGTGATCTGTTTTGGACCATCATAACTCATAACCGTATACACAGGGCTCAATTACAGTCATAACTCGAGGACCACCTGTAAGCAGCATTGTAGCAAATAATACTTCAGGCAACCTTGGTATGGGTCAGAAAAGTCTCAGTTCTGAAGGTCTTAATGGACCTTTCCTTCCCAGGGATAACATCTTTTACAGAATATTTGGGTGCACTCTGTAATTTTCCGAGGAGGAGGAAGAATTATCATCAGTGTTAGAAGGTAGTGAGGTTTGTTCTTCTTTTTATGTACTGTTGGCTTGCCCTATCAGCATTGCTGGGAGTGGTCTTGCTGGTTCCTAGGAGGTTGTTTACTGTTTGTTTGTCTGTGTTGGTAATTCCTTGATTGGGGTGTTGTTTATTTGTTGATTGTTGGTCTAGTGCTGGGACGGCAAACCTATGGCACGCATGCCACACAGGTGGCACACTAAGCCACTTGTGCCAGCACACGAGCTGCAGGCAAAACTTACCTCACTGCGCATGCGCGTGCCTCACAGCTGATTTTCAGCCTCCCAAAGGCTTGAGGAAGGCTTCTGCAGGCTGAAAACTAGCCCTGTTTCATCACTTCCTGTTTTTCCTAAAATACTGGAAGTGACGAAAGGGGGGTTAGTTTTTGGCCTGCAAAGCCTTCCGAAGCCTGTAGAAGCCTTCCTCTAGCCTCTGGGAGACCGAAAAAGGCCTCAAATTGGTAGAAAATCAGCTGTTCAGATGTAGTGCAGGTAAGGGGGCGGTAGGGATGAGTGGGGATTGTGCGCACATGCGTAGGGGGCATGGGAGGGCACACACTGCCTTCTGGGTGCTGGCACGCGAGCGCGAGTGTTCAAGTGCATGCACGATTTTTGGCCCAGGAGCCCAAAAAGGTTAGCCACCACTGGTCTAGTGTTAATCTTGGTGTTAATTTCTTATCTGGGCGTTGATCTCTCGTAAGGAGGTATTTTGGTGTGTTTGTTACCTTTGGGGCTTTTCGATCGTCTCGTTTGAATGCTATGTAGACGTTATTGGTTTCTGTGTGCCTGTCAATGGCGGATTCATCAAAATGCCAGAATCCCAGGAATTTTCTGGCATTTTTGGACTTGCCTTGGTCTAGGATACAGTTTGCCAGTTGGGAGTTTACGACAACTTACTACCACCAGCTCCTGCAGGATAACTCGTCGTGGTTCAATTCAACGCGGTATTAAGCGTTTCATTCCATTCCTTTTATTACGGTGACTGTGTTTCCGTCACAATTATTGTAACTCTTGTATTTCTGGGTTGACTTCATTATTATTATTATTATTTGTTCCGTTGAAATGAATGTAACTTTGTGTTTGTTGAGTTGGCTTCCGGTGAGTTGGCCATGATGAGTTGCCCACTGAGAGTTGGCCATGTCAAGTTGTCTCATCCCATCCCAGTTGGACCTCTGGTTTAAGCATGGCACTCTTCAGGTGCCATGCGTAGCTCCCTTGGCCTTGTGGATTTTCCACGTTGCTTTGGTTTCCTTGTGCCTGAAGAGAGGAGGCCCACCCAGGAGTTTCCCCCCCACTCCCCTCCCCAGCCTTGGAGCTCTAATAATCCTAGTTTCTCATGACAAACCCAGTTTGAAGACCCATTCTCGTTCACAGGGTCCATTGCTTCCACTATCTGATCCCTTTGGCCAAACAGGGCAACTATGCCATTGTGGCCAATGTGGAGAGCATGGATTACGACCCGCTGGTGGTGCGGCTGAACAAGGACATCAGCGCTGTGGAAGAAGCCATGAATGCTAGCTTGCAGCAGCACAAGTTCCAGTACATCTTCGAAGGTGGGTTGCTTGCCAAAGAGTGCAGGTGGGCAAAGTCTTGCTTTCTCATCGTAGAAACAGAGAAAAATGAAGAAGAAGAAAAGAAACAGTGGTATATCGGTTCTGTCCTTTTATAGGTTAGTCCTCGATTTATGACCACAATTGAGCCCCACATTTCTGTTGCTAAGCAAGACATTTCTTAAGTGAGCTTTGCCTCATTTTATGACCTTTCTTACCACCGTTGTTCAGTGAATCCCTGCAGGGTTCAATTAGTCACATGGTTGTTAAGTAGATCTGGGTTCCCGGTTGGCTTGGCTCTGCCGAAAGGCCGCAGTTCACATGACCTTGGGACATGCAACCATCCATTTGTGGGATCCATTGTGGTCGTATGTTAAGGACTGCCGGAACGGATTACGAAACCGCGGGGATGCTGCGATGGCCATAAGGGCGACGATTGGAGGGGGCTAAGTCACGTTTTTCCCAGGGCCGTTATAGTTTCGAACGGCCGCTAAACAAATGGTTGTAAGTTGAGAACTGCCTGTATCATAATTTAAGAGTTTTATAGTGGTGAGGTGACCTAGAGGTGGAACTCTTATCTCTCACAAATCAGGATGCTATGAGTTCAATCCTAGATAGAAACAGATATTTCTTTCTCTGAGCACAATGATCATATATCTGGCTAAAAAAAAAAAACCTCCGCACTGGCAACAGGAAAAGCATCTGGCCAGTAAATTTCTTTCTCCTGACCTGAAATTTCTCTCTCTCTCTCTCTCTCTCTTTCTTTCTCTCTCTCTGGTCCAGGTTTGGGTCATTTGATTTCCTGCATCCTCATCAACGGGGCTCAGTACTTCAAGCGCATCAGCGAGTCCGGCATTAAGAAGATGTGCCGGAACATCTTCATCCTTCAACAGAACCTGACCAACATCACCATGTCCCGAGAGGCTGATCTGGACTTTGCAAGGTGGGAGGAAGGAGAGTGGGTTGTGGGGGGTTGGGGTGGGGGTTGGGGCATACATCTGGGTGGAGCATGGGTAATCCTAGAAGTATGAACTCAGTTGAGCCCCCAAATTTCCATTTCTAAGCGAGGCGATTGAGTTTTGCCCCATTTTATGACTGTTTTGGGCCACAGTTGTTAAGCGAATCACTGTTATTAAGTGAATCACATGGTGGTTAAACAAATCTGGCTTCCCCCCATTGATTTTGCTTGTCAGGAACTGGCTGGGAAGGTTACAAATGCTGATCACACGTGACCTGTTGTAAATACATGCCATTTGCCAAGTACCTGAATTTCCCAGGAAGGACTAGAACTCACTGGCTCCTAGGAATTGACCCAAAGTCACCCAGCTGGCTTTCATGCCTAAGGCAGGACTAGAACTCACTATCTCCTGGTGATTGGCCCAAAGTCACCCAACTTGCTTTTATACCTAAGGCAGAACTAGAACTCACCGTCTCTTGGTGATTGGCACAAAGTCACCCAACGGGCTTTTATACCTAAGGCAGAACTAAAACTCATCGTCTCCTGGTGATTGGTCCAAAGTCACCCAGCTGGCTTTCATGCCTAAGACCAAACTAGAATTCACATTCTCCTGGTTTCTAGCTTGAAGCCTTAACCCCTAGACCAAACTACCTCTTAATCCTGAGCCCCATCTCCACTCCTGCACCAACACTTCTAGCCCTTTCACAAACCGCCCTTAGCACTTTGCTCCATCCCCGTGGCCCAGGTGAGCCACGCAACCCACCTCCCTTAGCTGTCAACTTGGCTCGCTTGCTCGAGCCATCCGGTGGTCGAATTACGAAGTGACAGCTTGCATGCCACTGGGATGCTCTTTGCTCCGACCGATGCTGGTTGCGGGGAACCTCCCCTTCCCTAACCAGCAAACTGGGGGTGGCTTAAATGCTGCAAATCTTGCCCCAGTGTGTGTGTATGTGCATGTAATTGTGTGTGATTGGGCCAAAACTCGGCTTAGACAATTTATCCCGACTTGATTCCGGAGTCATTTGGGCACGGACCAAGGCTTGGCTGCGGGGGTTAATGGAAGCCCACCCACGTGAGATTCAAATTTCTTAACAACCGGTTCTGTGGACGTGGCCTAATTTGTGGGTGTGGCTTGGTGGTTATGTGACTGGGTGGCCCTGGCTTGTATATAAATATAAATATTTATGTAAATATTGAATGTTTTATTAAAATAAAGAGCCACTTTTACCCAAAATCAGGCAAAGCAGGCAGAAGATTGAGTCGCTTGCAGAATCACAGATTCACTCAGAGATCTATGATTCTGCAATCTGCTACCTGAGTCTGCACTAAAAAATAGAAGCTTCAGTCCTAAGGAAGGTTCCGCGCTGGTTTTAGATTAGCTAGAAAGCAAGAAATCTAACTATTTCCTGCTTTCTAGCTAATGTAAATCTCCCAGAACAGCTGATGGTTGGGGGAAAAAAAGGAAAAATAGCAACTTACCAAATGCAGGCAAGTTTGATGGCGCGCGCATATGCCAGGTTAAGGAGTGAGTGGGCGGAGAGGGCCGGGGCCAGCCAGTGGCACAATTTGCCGGTTCTCTGAACTGGGCAGAATCATAACAAACGTTTCTACAGAACCGGAACCAACCAGGTAGAATCCCACCCCTGAAGGCAACATTAAGATTTGCATTGATTTTGCAAACAGAGACATGATGCGCCGGCTCCTTTTCTCCTTTCTGGCTGATTGTCTCTTTAATCTTGACATTAGTTATTTCAGGAGTGGACGGCTGAAGAAATGAAATATTCATAAGAATACTTGAAGAAGGGGTTGTGTGTGTGTGTGTGTGTGTGCGCGCACGGTCAGGGACCCGAATCCGTCTGGACCCCACCAAAAAAATAAAATAAAAACTTGTCAGTGGTGGGATTCAGCCGATTCGCACCAGTTCGCAAGAACCGGCTGTTAACTTTCTGAGCAGTTTGGTGAACTGGTTGTTGGAAGAAATCATTAGGGAAGAGAATTATTATTAAATTATTTGAATCCCACCACTGGCTTTTGTGCTCCGTTGCACCCCTGCACCGCCATCCCACCCACCAAGAAAGGGATACCTCCATAATCCCATGACCCCTCCCTTTCTCCCTTCTCCCTCCCCCCCCTCCTCAAATTAGATGGGTGAAGAATAGAGACCGCTCACGACTTCAATTACAGGGACCCTCGTAGGGGGAATAATCTTGTAATTAACTCGGGCCCGGTCATGCCAACATTGACAATGTGGGGCAATTGCATAGCCGCAATGCAGCCAATTCTCCTTGGGATAAGCGTCCTCAAATTCAATCATTTCCTTTTAAAATGATTTTGTTTCTTCCTCTTTCCCCTTGAAATATTAACTAAATTAGGCAAGGGGGGGGGTTTGGCAGTTGCCAACACAATGGGCAACGAGTCGATAGCAACTGGCACGCCGATCGCGGCTGGAAACAGAAGAAGTTGGCATGGCTGAAGCCGCCAGAGAAATATATATATATATATACATATACATATATATATATATTCGTTTATTAAATTTATATGCTGCGGTTCATGGATGGTAGAAAGATAAAGAGGAAAACAATTAACATTTCTAAATGGTTCAAATGCAACATTTTTAAAAGCAAAATTAAGGCACCAGTGCACCCAAATGGGCTAAGTTGGTCGCCTCTTTACGTTGGCCTTTCCACTTCCTCGTGCCCTTTTCTTTTGAGAACTTCTGCCATCATCCCAAGGTGGGTTTTTAAAAAACTATTTTAAAAACAATCGAAAGTTTTATTTTAATACAAGGTTAGAGAAAGGAACCTCAAACCCTTTAAAAAAACGCATCCACCCAGCTGACCACCATACCAAATGCAAAGGCAAACCATCAACAAAAGTAAAAATAAACATGTCTTGTGTTATTTTATTATATGGAGTTATGATGCTCTATACACTTCCAAAGGTGGCTTTTAATTTGTTTTGTTTTCAACTTTATTTAGGGACGGAGGAACTTAAACTTTTTTTTTAAAACACAGCTGAGAATGAAAAAAAAAAAAAGAGAGAGAGAGATGGATGGATAGAATTATCCATCCTATAATTTTAACAAAACTGTTTGCTGTTTTGATAGTACCACAATACTCCAGCCAGTGGCAATTTGGCAAGACAAGGCTACCATCTAGTGGCCGTGCCAAGCAAGAGCCAAAAACTTCTTAATTTCATTTTTTTTCTCAATGGAGTTCAGAGTGAAGTTGTATATTTCAGTTTGTCCCAAATGTGTAAGATGAGCAAGACAGGAGCGGCGAGTTCTTATTTTCATCCTGAACATGGAGATGTTTCATTCTGCCAATTTTGCCAACGCTCAACTCCATCTTCTAACACGGAAACCATACCAACGTTAACAAAATTGGCACAACTGTTGGACGAGCCAAAAAAAAAGGGACTGGATTTAATAGCCTACAATGAATTTTGTTTGGGTACTGATTTAGGGTGCTTTGTAAACCCTGATGTTGCGATCTCTAAATCACCTACCCTTGTTTCCCCGAAAATACAATCTACCCTGAAAGTAAATCCTAGCTTGATTTTTACTGGTGTTCCCAATATAAGCCCTACCTCCCCAAAAATAAGCCCTAATTAAGATTCCGCTCACTCCAGAGTGGATGGATAAAAATTAAGCTAAGGTGGGGATTTGGGGGCGTGGAGCTGTCCTACTACTTACCTTTGGACAGGTGTAGCCGGGCCTCGCACACCCCGACACCTGCCTTGCCAGCCCATTTCTTCTGCAGCTGGCAAGGCTTTCCTGAAGGCCTCTGTGGCTGATAACAAAGCTCTGGATCGATCCTGAAGGCCTCTGACAGAAAAAAGGGAGCCGGATGTGACACGGACAAGTGGGGTTAGTCAATGGATGACATCCCCCGAAAATAAGACCTGGTGCCTTTTTTTGTTAGCAAAAAAAAAATTAGAAGACAGGGTCTTATTTTTGGGGAGACATGGTACATAGGTTAGTATAGGTTTTCTCAACTTGAGTAACTTTTAAGATGGGTGGACTTCAATTGACAGAATTCTCAGCCAGGGGAATTCTGGGAATTGAAGTCCCCGCCCCCGTCACGAAGTTGCTGAGACAAATTGGCTTGTGTCGGGCCCCATCCATGGTTATCTCCGAAAACATGGCTGAGATATGATTTAGTTGTTAGTCTCGGATGCTTAACGAGTGACTCTCGGGCTGTCCCTCTGCCTGGGCCTACCTCGCATGGTTGCCATGAGAGGAATAAAGGGGTGAGGAGGGCTCTACAGGTTGTCCTTGACATATGACTGGTCTTTTACGCGACCATTCGAAGGCACGACACCCCTGAAAATGGGACTTAAGACCCGGATTCGAAGTTGCAATGTGGGCTGCGTTCTTTTAGGTGAGAGCAGTCTTTCAACTCTTTACATACATACATACATACATACATGTAGTCCTCAACTTATGACCACAGTTGAGCCCCGAAATCGCTAAGCAAGATGGCTGTTAAGTGAGTTTTGTCCCCTTTTACGAACTTTCTTCCCACAGTTGTTAAGTGAATCGCTCCAGTTGTTAAGGTAGTAACTTTGAACGGTCACTAAACAAACTTTTTGTAAGTCGAGGGCTACCTATAAAGCTATTATCCTGTAGTTGAATAATGCTGAAATCCTAGTCCGAGAAGGAGGTTTCCTCTTGGTAGTAAAATAATATTAGAATTAGGCAAGCATCCTTCAAATAAAAGTTCAAAAATCAGGAAAAAAGATATCTTTTTCTCTATCAGGAGAGAAACAGCATGGAATTAAGGAGAAAGTTCCTAACAGTGATGACAATTAACCAATGGAACAAGCTGCCCTCAGAAGTTGTGGCTTCTCCAAAAACCGGAAGGTTTTAAGAAGAGATTGAACAAACCATTTGTCCAGGACAGTAGATGGTCCCCTGCTTGAGCTGGGGGTTAGGCTAGAAGACCTCCAAGGTCCCTTCCAGCTCTGTTTATTCTGCGATC